AAGGTATCTATAAAAAAAAAAATTATATTGATTTGATCATTTTTAAAAAAGTTATGGCAATTTAAAGAAAAAAAAATGAAAAAATATCGAAAATTAGTGTTTTTTAAATTTGTAATTTTTTGGGGGATTTCCCCCATTTACGGGGAACGAGGGAAATTTTTTCAATTTTTGAGGGTAATGTCTTCGACTAGATACGATTTGTGATCTTTTGACATATTGTTCATCAAAANCTTCAACTAGATACGATTTGTGATCTTTTGACATATTGTTCATCAAAATCGGTCCAGCGAGAGCTGAGATTGAGCGTTCACAGACACAAAAAAAAAAANCAAAATCGGATCAGTGAGAGCTGAGATTGAGCGTATACAGACACAAAAAAAAAAAAATCACTTCATAGTAAAATTAATACCTTCTCAGCTTCGCATCGAAGCTAAAAAATGATTGTTAGTTTCTCTTGAATTAACAATGGATTTTTACAAATATAATCATATTTTATAATACGCTCAATTGAGTAAATTTTTTTAACAACTTTGTTTTAATTGGTTCATTTAGTTAAAGAAAATCATTAAAATTAATTAAGTTCTCAATATTTCAATTATAGAATCTTTTCAACAAACAACAAAAGTTCCTAGGAAATTATTACTATTACTTCTATTTAAGTTATCTATTACCATAAAAATGCAAAAAAATATTGAGCTTTTCTGATAAATTTACAATAAATAGTAATTATAAAACTTTCTGACTGNTACCATAAAAATGCAAAAAAATATTGAGCTTTTCTGATAAATTTATATTCATATTAATCTTAACGATACAATTTTTTTAATTCTCATAAAAAGTTCTATTTAATGATGTCAATAGTAAAATTAATACCTTCTCAGCTTCGCATCGAAGCTAAAAAAACACATCTTAGTAAAACCAATACCTTCTCAGCTTCACATCGAAGCTAAAAATGTAAAATATAAAATTGAGAATTTTCACACAAAAATAGCATTCGATAGCTATTTTCACCATGAAGATAAAATAAAGTCCAATTTTTTGTTTAATATTAAACTATATTACATAAGCTTTAATTTAAGATATATATAAAACTATTAGTATTTCCGGAACACTTTCAAAAGTTAAGTTGAAAAAATTAATTTTTTGTATAAAAGTTACCATTTTGAAACCCTTCCTGTGGGCTAGTAAAGGGTCAAATGTTCACATAAATATATAAAATGATAGATAAATACCTAAGGTATCTATAAAAAAAAAAATAATATTGATTTGTTCATTTTTGAAAAAGTTATGGCAGTTTTTAGTAAAAAGTAGAAAAAATTTCGAAAATTAGCGATTTTTAAATTTGTAATTTTTTTGGAGGTTTCCCCCATTTACGGGGAACGAGGGAAATTTTTTCAATTTTTGAGGGTAATGTCTTCGACTAGATACGATTTGTGTTCTTTTGACGTAATATTGAAAGAAATCGGTTCGGTGAGAGCTAAGAAAAAGTGGTAACAAACACAAAAAATTAAAAATTAAACAAAAAAAAACATCATAGTAAAATTGATAACTTCTCAGCTTCACATCGAAGCTAAAACAATAATAACTACTTTCATTTAACTAGAATCCTTTTAATTGTTATTTGACTATTAAATGGAGAAAGGATTAAATCAAAATTTAACATGTTGATAATAATTTTTGTATTACAGTATAAGTCCGATAATCCGGCATCCAACAGTAGAACAGTAGAATACAGTAGGAGACACTTTTTTGTATTTGCATACTGTATTTTTAGTTTAATTATTAACGTAATTGTTCTTATAGCAAAGCCTACACTAAAAGGAAAGGGTACCGCCCGATAGACCGGCACGGAGCCGGTCCCGAACGTGCCGGATTATCGGATTTCTACTGTATTATTTTTAGAGTTAATATAATTTTTAGCTTTTAGCGTGAGAGATGTGCAACAGAATTCTTATTTGTAATATTATATTATTACTTATAATATTAAAATATTATATTATGTTATCTTTTGTACATGTATGTCATATATTATGAATTTACAAGATCACCAAAACAGGGTTCCCTTATTTAAAACTTAAAATAATCAATAAATTAGGCAATTAAATCTGAATATCGTACAGATTCAAAGTCACGCCCATGTGTGGGTTCTCAATTAGGTCCAGCCAATCACATTTAACTATTAATTAAGATCCATAGTTTCTAAGATCACATTAGGGATCGCTACACGACCCTCATCTACTATAAAAACCCATTTTTTCCTATTAAAATCAGTTCTTTCGGCGATTTTAAAATACACAAAATCTGCGACACTCTACTCTCTGGGACTTAGTCGATTTTTTAATTTATTTGGACTTAGAATATTTTTCTTAAAAAAAAACTAAATGACACTTAGAGATTTTAAAGTGAATTTTGTTTTAGTGAATCTTTTAATTTAATTTAATTTGTTCATTAAATAATAATATTTTTTTTTTATTTTACCATGGAAATAAATGTCAATTAATATTTTAAAACAAAAACATTTTTTTTTATATATATTATAAAACCGAATCAACTCTAATTTTCTCAGTTAATGATAAATATTTATTACATGACTAAGTGTATTGCAACTCTATACTTATTGGGTAGCTAATCTTTTGTGGTTTAATGTCTTTGTTCTAACGAACATCGCGCCGGCAGACAGAGTAAAGGTTGCAATTAAAGATTTTTAAAGTTAGGTGTGTTAGGTTAGAATATATTTGTAAGCCTATGTGTTTTGGGTAGCTAATCTTCTGTGGTTTAATGTCTTTGTTTTAACGAACATCGCGCCGGCAGACAGCACAGAGTAACTTACAGATATATGTTTTTAGTGTTTAATTTTTGTCTTGGTGATTATAGTGCCGCATCCTTTCAAGGTGCTTTATTTTAGCACCGGGACACATTGGGCCACCACAATTCCGCCTTGACAAATCTTTTACGTAGATATAAATATTTCTGAATCTTGAGTGTCGATCTCTCAATAAAATATAATCTCTCAAAAAATATACTCATTCTACAAAGTCAACTAAAGATATATTATTTGATTATAATTATAAAAATATAGAGTGTATAGAATCTCTTGCATGTAATAATACAGTCATAGATTTTGTGTAACGGTTTCGTATTATTTATAATTAAACGCTTTATTCTCAAACGGTCATATTTACTGTCGAACTCAAAGTGTACAACGTGTGAAATACAGTGTGAACTAATAATCAACATTGGATTGTCTAAAATAAGCATTACACTACGTGGGATACAAGGTAAGTACAAATTTAAATTCCCGCTTTCAAATTATAAATACTCTATTGCGTAATAAACCATTGAGATAGGTAATAAAGTTTTGTAGGATAATTGACTTCATTTATTCAATATTGTTCAACCCCGAGATCAGTTCATTATTTTTGTCACAACGTTTGTGTGCATTTTTATTTATTTGATCATTACCCTCATGTATTTAAACTCCGTTTATTCACCCCTCTGAATTCTTCTTTATTCATATTATTATATTCTTTGCACCCTTACATATCTTGCCACATTTAAACATGTATTACTCCGCCATTTATTATCTTATTTAATTATTTTTATTATTATTCGGCCATACATACGCTGTATTATATCTTTGGTCTGACTAAGAATCAACCCTTAGATTTTCTTTTGGTACAATATAAGAATTCACAACTTCAATAGTGAAATCCACATCACCGCCATTTTTATCCTCCATTATTCATTCCCCATAAACCTACTACCTACCTACCATTTACAATTTTACATTTTTATTAATTTCCCTTAAACCTACATATTATTATTATATAATAAATATAGATTCTACTTTTTTTTTTATCTTTTTTCTTTTTGGTTTATTACATATTTATGCGTTAAAATAAATATAAAGTGTCACTAAACGTAGGATAGGATTTACCCAAAAAGCCCCTAGGCTAATAAGAAACAAGTATAGGGCAATTTTAAGTAAAAAAAAATTAAAAAATTTCGAAAATTAGCGATTTTTAAATTTGTAATTTTTTGGGGATTTCCCCCGTTTACGGGGAATGAGGGAAATTTTTTCAAATTTTGAGTTTAATGTCTTCGACTAGATATGATTTGTGATCTTTTGACGTAATATTGAAAGAAATCGGTTCGGTGAGAGCTAAGAAAAAGTGGTAACAGATACAAAAAAAAAACACGTCATATTAAAATTAATACCTTCTCAGCTTCGCATCGAAGCTAATAAACACATCATGATAAAACTAATACTTTATCAGTTTTGCATTGAAGCTAAAATTAGTGGTATTTGAAAATATCTAATTGTTGATTTGAAATTATCTTGAAAAATTGATCAATAAAAGTATATTTTAAACGCTAATGTAAATTCCTTATAAATAAGGAATTTACATCAGGAATTAATACCATTTTTTGATGATTACCAACAAAATATTTTCTTGAACATTGTGTTTCAAGACCTTCCAATTTTTATAGACTTACAATATTAAATTTTTAAATATCAATTTTAATTGCTATATTAAATTTTTATTCATGTATTATATTTCTAAATCAAAGAACTACTATTCAAGAATAATGAAGAAAATAGGAGTTCATTTTGTTTTTGGTATAATCCACCATTTCCTAAAATTAAACACTATTTACAGTCACTATTTTATTTGCATTGAACCATTTCTTATGATAGTGATTTTAATCACTGCCATATTTCATTTATACTTGTCTTAACTATGCTACGTCCCCACTGTGATACTATTTTTTTAACACATTTTAATAGGAATTTTCGATCCCTAGTGGTATATTATGTTTCCTGTTTTGTGTTGTTTATCGAATACAAAAATTAAATTTTAGTGTGTAAAATAAATGGCTACACTGTATTCATGTAATCTCGTTGAGTAAGTATTGACTTGATTGGTGTCTCTTATCGAAAAATAAATATATATTACTATTATAATAATTATTAAAATATTTAGTATATATTTATTTTAGTTAGTTCAATCAGTGTTTATACTTATGTTCTATTTGAAGAATAGTTATTTTAACACCTACAACTTTTAATTGGTATAACGTATTATTAGTCAATTCTGACTATGAAGGATATATAATTACTATAATAAAAGATATAACTCAATTATTCCTGTGATATTATTTCAACGTAAAATGATTTTTAATTATGTTTAGTTCTACTTCGAAGTGTTTCTTTATTATGTTATGTTGACTATTTCAAGACAACACAAATTTCAAGTATCGCTCATCTTCAAGTTGAAAAATATTGGAATTATACAATTAAAAATTAATTAAAAACCGTGGATAACAATGCTTGAATATGCACGAGGTATTTTATTTTTTAGTTCTGTTTATTGATTTGATGCTACCACATAACGTATATAAAGATTTTACTAATTGGTACCTGCTAAATCCCATTTGAAGAATTCTGGCACCCTTATTAATAAATAACATTTTCATGTTGTTCATAATTGTTGTTATTTTTGTATATATTGATAGATTTACATGGCCGAAAACAATTCCTCTTCAAATAATAGTTGCATTGTAGATTATAATCACCACCATCTAGTGGCTGATCAAGAAATTAGGATGAGTGGATCAGGAGGATCAAATAATAATGGACCGCCGATTGGTAATTCAGCAGCTGCTGGAGGCAATAATGTTAGTGTATTATTACCTAGTGGTGGAGGAGGTGGAACTAAACGCCGTAGTGCTGTTGGAGGAAATAATACTCACATTATAAATGGAGCTGGATCAAACTCATCACCATCTGTATCGGCAGATTTAGCATCATTATTTGAATGTCCAGTTTGTTTTGATTATGTGTTACCTCCCATATTACAATGCCAAAGCGGACATTTAGTTTGTAGTACTTGTCGACCTAAATTGAACTGTTGTCCAACTTGTCGTGGTCCACTTGGAAACATTCGCAATTTAGCTATGGAAAAAGTAGCTTCGACAGTAATGTTTCCTTGTAAGTATTCTTCATCAGGTTGTCCAGTATCTCTGTTACATTCAGAAAAAGTTGAACATGAAGAACTATGCGAGTGTCGTCCATATACTTGTCCATGTCCAGGTGCATCATGCAAATGGCAAGGAGGTTTAGAACAAGTAATGGAACATTTAATGATTGCTCATAAATCTATAACAACATTACAAGGTGAAGACATAGTTTTCTTAGCGACAGATATAAATCTTCCTGGTGCAGTAGATTGGGTTATGATGCAGTCATGTTTTGGACATCATTTTATGTTGGTCTTGGAAAAACAAGAAAAGTATGAAGGTCATCAACAATTTTTTGCTATTGTTCAGTTAATTGGCAGCCGAAAACAGTGTGAAAATTTTGCATATCGTTTAGAACTTAATGGTCATAGAAGAAGACTAGCATGGGAAGCTACTCCAAGAAGTATACATGAAGGAGTTTCAACAGCAATACTTAATTCTGATTGTTTGGTTTTTGATACTAGCACTGCTCAGTTATTTGCCGATAACGGAAACTTAGGAATTAATGTTACAATATCAACAAATGTTTAATATTACTAAACAATATTTTTAATGTAGTCAATAGTATGATGTATATGCTATAATACTTGGTTAAACTTCTCATTTCATACATTTTTTGTATATGATTAATAATTTAGTAAAAACTATAAAATAATGCATTTTATTTTTGTAACTTAATGTAAATATATATACAGTTCAGTATCCAAAGTGAAAATGGGTTTAGTGAGACTATAAAGATTGTCTTGTTTAATTTTATTCAAATTAAAGTAAAATAATAAGGTGTCAAGATATGCAAATTCTACTTATATATTTTTTAACATAGGTATTCTCGTTAGAATTTGTTTGTTTATAACTATTTAAATTTATTTAAGACAGGTAATAAAAACAACCTATGTATTTTTATGTAAATACAATAAAGTAATATAATTTTAAATGTTTTTTTTCATGAGATTTTTGAATTGAAGTACATTGATAAATATTTAATACAAATTGTAAGATCACTTTTTGAATAACAATATAGTTGAGTTATTAAGGGCCTAAAATTTAAATGTTACTACTGTGAATATTTGATTTTAAATAATTAGATTATAAAAACACGATTGAGTTATATAAGAATACTTGAATACAAAAAATAAAGTAAAAATTTGTGAGGAGTCTATATTCAGGCATACCCTCTTCTCACACTCACTATTATATTAAAAAATCATTGCTCTCACCATCATTAGACTCAATTTTAAATAATTTTTAGAAAGTGCTTGGAAAATTTATATCAGACACATTTGTGAGAGGCTATCTCCCGTACCAATCGTTATAAGTCACTTATACTTAGTGACAAGAAAGTTATTATAAAAGTGACTAGTTCAAGTTCATTATAGTAACCTTACATTTAATATTAATAATACAACTAAAATAATGAAGAAATTAGAAAACAAATGCATTCTCATTCATTGGGCTTAAAATTAAAATTCATTTTAGCTTTGATACATAACTGAGAGGGTGTTATTTTTTTTTTTTTTTGTAACCGTCACTATTTTTTTGATACGTCGAAAGATTAAAACTCATATTTATTTGAAGACATTATCCTCAAAATTGAAAAGTTTTCTCTTTTTCATGGTAAATATATGAAATCTAATAAATTACAATTTTGAAAACAGTAAATTTCAACTTTTTTTTTTTCTTAAAACTCGATTTTTTTTTAGACAAATCAAAACAACTTTTTTTTATTAATACCTTAGTTACTTCATTAATAACATTTTTTTTTAATCTAGCTCTTTATTTGCCAATAGTGGAGAAACCCAAAGTGCATCATTGTGAATTATACGTTTATAAACACTAAATCCACGGTGTATTTTAAAGCTGTGGATGGTTTATATTTTTTTTCGCATTATTTAGTAATTAATTATCGTTCAGCTAATTTTTAGATTGTGTACAATGCAATTAATATGACGGTTATAAATAGTGGATTTTATGTTTAATCCATGGTATATTTTTCTTTACATTTATTATACAAAGATACAAAATGTTTTCGCCAGATAGTGTATATTACGATGGAAGGAAATTGTTTATTCTAGCGTAATTAAAAAAAAAATGTTTATATTAATTTGTTTGTTACACAATGGTTCAACGTTAATTTATTGTATGAATATATTTATGTTTGATTTTTTTAAAATTACTTTCTCTAATAATAGAAAGTAGTAATATATTCATTAATGAATACATTATTTACCCTAATAAAATTCCAAAATCAACTAATTTCGATTTGTATATTCAAAATTTAATTGGTGAAACAGTTAGGTAAACTATAAACTAGCTATTATAACTTAAGCGTAATTTACTGTGGTATAAAAGTCATGTGTTATTACAAATTACTTTTATCATTACCGTTTATCAATAATAATTCATAATTAATGTTAAATCACAACATTTTTATCTACTTCGAATATTTTGCTTAATTTTTTAGTAATCGTCGCTAGAATTTAATAATTAATATAAACTATTAAAGATAAATCATAAATAGTTCTTCAAACTTAAATCCATTTTCTCATATGCTGTAAATTATGATGGAATAAATATTAAAAATGCAAATGATGTCTTGAAGTTTATATTACAACTAAAGATTACATTAACATGTAAAAATGTTTTATTCATATAACTAAGTATTTCATGTATGCAATATTTTAAAAAATACAAAGCTTTCCATATCATTGTGTAGTGGATTTGGTTCTATACAGGCTTTATTAAAATCATTTTCATGATTAAAAGTAAAGAGTTCTAGTTGTCCCAAACTTTTGCATTTATATACCCCAACATTGAATGATAAAATATTGATGTCATCAGCCTTGCCGAAAAGTTCAATAATGAAAAGATATCTCCGTCTTACAAAATGCATGCAATTATTTTGTTCAATAAAGTTTTCCACAACAAATATAATAATATTTAAGTCTTTTACTATTATACAATCAACATGATGGGTAAATTTACTTCTTTTTTCTTTAGTTCTTATTTGTATTTTAAAATGTTCAAATTGAATACACATAAATTGTTCATATGTTCCTGTTATATGTAGTAAAGGTCCATTATTGTGTTTTTCTCTATAAATGGGAAAATCTATTGAGGAAAGTAAACATTTTTCATCACGTGCTGATCTGTCTTCTGTAATTATACATTTATACATATATGCATATTATACATTTCTGTTATAGCATAACGTCTAGATTTTAAGTATTTTTTAATCTGCCTAAATAATTTTCATACCAAAAATCATTGAAGTAATTGATGTTACCATATTTTAGTACATCATTAGGAAGATAAATTAAGAAATGTACATTATATGATATTAAGAATAGCCCGGAAATTATATCAAATGTTTGAAAATGATGTTGTAACATTTTCTTTTTTTTCTGTTGCTTTTGGTGATGCAAGGATTTGAATTGCACAGTAAAAAGCAAAAAAATTCTTATAAATTAGTTCAGGCTTTAAATATCAAAGCACTTGTATACATCATAATTTATCTAAATTTAGTTACCTTAAAACTGATATAACTATTTAATGATAGTGGTGTGCAAGCAAAATCTGTGCTTAACGATGGTACTATAATTTCCATTCTTTTATTAATGTAATCTATTTTTGTCAAAAAATGTCTAACATAACCAAATGAACTTGTCTGTTTTATTGATCCTTTGACCATTAGGGCAATAATTTTTTTCATTGTAACTTAAATTATAAAAAAAACACATTAGATTTGTCCAAAAAAGGTTTTTTATTCAAAATTATTCATCTTTTTAAAATCATTGTTCATAATATTTCTATAGTTACTAGGGCTTTTTTCAGTTTATGTATAATAATTTTTACAAATATTTATAACTACAAAGTTGTTAAAAAATATGTAAAAAAAAATTAACATCACATTAAAATTAACATAGTGATTTACATCACTATCATAAAGAAACGCTTTGATGAAAATTTGTAGATAGTGTTTAATTTTTAGAAGAAATTGGAACAGACTATAATCCTGTGAGTAGGCAAATGATCAAATTGAACAAAAAGAGCATTTTTGGAAATTAAAATAATTTTATATAATAAAATTGACTAAAAAATTGCAAAGAATTATAAGGATCAATCCTTATAATTCTTTGCTCAGTGTGTCATTTAAAAATAATAAGTAATATAATTATTAAAGTTATAAAAAGTTTAAAATTTATATTAGTTATAAACTATTCTTTGTTTTAACATTAACTCCTCATTTTAAAAAAAATTTTAGAAATGTGAAATTTTAACTTTTAATTTTATGGGATATTTCATTATGGTTATTTAAATGTTTCTCCATATTTAATTTGATATAAAAAAATTAGATATTGTTTATCCTGAAATATTTAATCAATAGAACTTTTTTTATCAGTTTCTTTTTCTTCAAACAACTTTTTGTTATCTACATTTTATGATATTTATAATATCACAAATGAATATTATTAAACAAGAAATATTTTGTCAAGTAACAAATTAGGGTACCCTTTCTTGTATTAACAATGAAAAAGACGACAATATTATGTTTAACTTTAATGTGTATATTATAATCGAAATTATTTTTTTTGTTTTAATTTTCTAAGTATTTTTGATAATATTTTAAAATGCCTTCGTCTAATTCAACTTTTAATGATCGAAGCCTTGAGTTTCAAACTTTTAAATATGTTCTGATCGAGTTCCCTGAGGATAATTTTGCACTAGCCATAGTGTCTTCTTGTTGGATTTTTTTTTGCAAGGAAACCTCCATTTATAAGTGTTATTGGCCGGGTAATGTAAATGCAAATCAATTTGCAAAAAAAAAGTATTGATCACTTACCTAGTTGGAAGATCTGGAATTGCAACATAGAACGGTTTTTTAGTAAGCAGATTGTACTTTAAGAAATTATAACCTGATTCAGCACATTGAATCTTTATATTTAGCCAACTTAAAGATTAAGTAATAGGCTACTTATCATATTAGACTTCTTGAGCATGGGAACTTAAATATTTTGTTGAGTTATTTATGTTTATTTGTGATATACTTCTATGAAATAATTGTATGTTGTAGAAATGTTATATGTTATAAATGTTTTTCTGTATTTTTTAAAAAAAAAAATATTTAATGAAAGTAATACAGTATTGAGCAATTACAACTCAGATGAGTGTCACATAAAACCTAACAAAAGTTTAATAGTTCCTAATAAATATTTATTAAGTTCTGATGATGAACCGGTTTTTAAAAAGATAAAAAATAAAATTGCTTTTTCAATGCCAGATATGCCAACATATGAATCTAGTAAGTTGTGGATAATATTACTTTAAATTAAATATAAAAATTATCATTTTTTCATTTAGAACCTTTTATTTATTTTAGTTGATAATAAAGAAAATTTGCATCTGAATTTAGATTCCATTGGAATAGCATTGATAGCATTGAAAGACTGTTCCAATAATCAAGATAATTCAATTATAGGTAATTTACTATAATATTTCACTTATGTTGTTCAATTTTATTTGAACTTTGGTAAGTTGCTTGTTCAATTTCAATTTTTAAAACTTAAGTAAAAATAATGATTCTTCTAAATAATGTTTATAATGTTTAATCTACCTTCTAAATTAAAATCTGGCTTAGTATTGAAATAAAACTACCTTTGAATATAATTTTTTTATATGTTTAATTTTTGGACAATTTTTTTAATTCTCATAAAATTTTCTATTTAATGATGTCAATTTCAAACTTGCCAATTGAGCTAAAAGTTATGATAAAATAGTGTATTTATTCATAAGTAACAAATGTTTTTATTAAAAATTATTGTATCAAGCCCTTTAAATTTTTATATACGTAAAAGTAAAGCAAAATATAACTTCTTTTTATTTTTATAATAACTCCGTAAAAATTACAATATTATAATATTGAAAATCAATTTCATACTAAATTTAATTACTATAATTATTATGTATTCATATATTATAATTATAAATCGGGATAAAATTAAGAGAATAAGAGTTATGGTTGCTTTTGAAATAATCTACCAATCTCTTAAAATTAAACACTATCTACAGATTTGCATCGAAGCGTTTCTAATGATAGTGATATTAATCACTGTTAGATATCATCTATACTTGTCCCATCTATGCCTCGTCCACACTGTGCCGCGACCCCACTGTGCTACCATTTTTTTTATTGATTGTACATTTAATTCTCAATTTATCATTCTATAAGATATAATTTTTTAATTTCAGAAAATAACTTTACTTTAAGTGGGATCTAGTAAGTTAAACTCAAAAACTACCTACATTGTGTTAGGAAATGAAAGGTAATGAAATAGCTTAAATATTCAGTGTAACTGGAAAAGGACTAAACTATCTTTTAATAATTACAAAATGTTTAAATTAATTCAAGGTAACCAACATTTTATTTTAAAATTTAACTATGAAAACTTGTAAAAATTTCCTAATTAATCCTAAAATACTTATTCCTTAGATTTGAAAAACCTGTGTATTATATTTATATTGTACTATTATATTCAATTATCCTTAATAATTTTTATTCCAGCAAATATAACTAACGTTACTATACATAAAGTGGGTTTTTAGCATGAGAGACTATACATACACTAGTACAAGCTAAACCCACTAGTGCCATAGTATTTCATTACTATGCATTTTTACTCCATAAGTACCAATCATAAATTTGTTATCATCTCATCAATTTTTCTTTTGTTATAAAAGGGTAAAAAAAAAAGGCTATTATAAAATTCTTGAAGAAAAACATATTCGTGTTGGAAATCAGGCAGCAATAGAAACAAATAATAAAATAAATGTATATTTTTTTTATTGCATTTTAAAAAACAAGTAATAGTTAACATGCTTTTAATGTAGTTCAAATTCATAAAATTTAATGTTAATAAAAAAAGTTATCCAAAATATTTTCTGGATCAAAAGTTATTGAGGATGTAAGTTTCTAGTGAGACACCAATTTCCCACTCTGAATAAGTACATAAAAATAAATCTCATCTAGGATATCATAATTGCCATAAATTGGAAAAACCCTGAAATTTATTAAAATATTTGAGGAGTTAAATTAATTTATTCCAAGCCCTAAATTTTATTGTATAACAATACTTATAATTTTTTTTAAATTTAGTGAACCTATGTTTAAAACTTCCTGTTACAAATTTTATATCATACTACTGTTCTCTCGCCAATTACTTTAATAACTAATAGATGGATCAAAAATGTTGATCATAGAAATTTTAATGAGAACCCTTTTAAAATTATTATATACATTAAAATAAATATTTTGTGAAAATTAGAGTTTAAAAAAAAATGCCTACTGGTAGCTCAACATGTTTTTAGTAAATTGAGTCCTACTGTAATATACTAAATAATCACACAAATTATATTATCCACACTATCATATTTTGAAATTAAAAAACTTTTGTTCTATGATAAAAATTAACGTTCAATTCCTATTAGTTTCAAAATTCTATTTGTTAAACAAATAATAAAAACAATGAAAGAGATTGATGAAATCACCCCCCCCCCCACCATATAAATAATGTATACTGTCACCAATGTCTATCAATGTAATCAAGTATAATTTTTTTTTTAATGTTCGGTAGTTTACATAGTTTTATATAATTGTAAGCTAAATTTCTAGGACCTCACATATTTTTTTTTCATAACCTATAGCCTTAGTGTTACTGTGTTTATTATAAATATTATGTGTACTATGGTCAATGGTGAGGAGGGTTATAGTCTTATCAGCTACCTGTGTTATATTCTTATTACTAATAATAATAACTATAATTTAATTAATTAATTTTTCGGATGTTGTTTATATTTTACAAATTATCACTGAAACAGAGTATAAGACATACTTAAGTCAGAGGCTCAGACAGGCCAGCAACAGAAAAAAAGAAAAAAAAACCTTATAATTTGATATATAAATTATTATTATTATTATTAGAGAATATTTATATTTCATTAATTTGTTAATATAATTTTTTAATAAAGAAATTCAAGAACATTATTTTTGAGTGTAATTTATTTGGTTTCATTTTGATTGACTAATTTATGTTTATTTTAAGTACATTACATACTGTTTTATTCGAATAATGTAGTGTAAAAAATTTGTATAGTTGAAGTGGAAAGAAAGTTCAAAATATATTTAATATTCATTTAATCTACTTTATATGAGTAGAGATTAAATGAATATTATGTGTTGATAAGTTAACTATATTTAACGTTTAAAATACCTATAAGTTTTTAAATACTTATATTAGTAAAATAAGCATTATTTCTGTAAATAAATATGGTAGGTACATCAATAGTTAATAAACGGTTATAATGCTTTATAGTAAACCATTGACAGCTATTGTTGTGTCACCACCCCACTTTATTAAATATTTATCTTTGCGAATATACATGTTTATAATTGATAGGGAAATCCGCATGCGGATGTCCCCTTGATTTCTTTGTATGACTATTTGGCAGCAATAGTCAGTCTAGTGCAGTGGTCGGCAACCGGCGGCCCGCGGGCCGTATCCGGCCCGCGTGGCTATTGAATACGGCCCGCTTTAAATTCTAAATCGATTAATTTAATTGAATATCATTTTGTATAAATATAATTGAACGTTGCGTTTTTGGTACGGGTATTTTATATAAGTCATATTATTATTTTAAGTTTTAGATAGTATTTTTTTGCATAATAAATAATGTAATTATAAATTTTTTTTTTTTATCTGGCCCGCGAACTCTTTTTAATTTGTAAATGTGGCCCGAGAATTAAAAAAGGTTGCCGACCACTGGTCTAGTGTCTAGTGTCTACCGTTATAGGACTAACATTATAATTGTAAAGCATATTCTTATTTTGAAGTGTTATTATGAAAGTTTACTTTATATATATACATTTATATTAATTGTTATATTTCTCTTGTAACGTAATATTTTTCGTATAATACATTTTACTATTTATAACCAGTATTTCTATCGAGAATGTTAAATTTATTTCTTTATAAATAATCACTATTTCCTATATACATCTTGGAGGACTCTGTGCGGATAGCTCAATAGGGAATCCAGACGGTAACCCGAACAACAAATAAATATTAAAATTCCTTCAGGCGAGCCTTACAGGTCCGCCACAGGAAATTTTTGGTGCCGAAACCCGGGAACATCGTCATCGTCAGAGTTTTCCAAATTAATTCCATCGAGGAACAGAGAAAACAACGAAGCTAAGGAGAGTGGACAAGTGAAGCCGTGTGCAGAGAAGTATCATTTATTTCAGTTTCAGTTCCTATTCCAGAAGCAAACGAAGACATCGTTTCAATGTCGGCTAAAGCGTAAGCGTTTGATTGTATATTTGTCGCGTGTTCTTTTGATTATAAGTTATAGTTATTGTAAATTACGTATACGTGGTTAATTGAGGCCGTAATAATAATCGTTAATAGTAGTCTATGGAAGATAATTTTGAGGTTAATTTATCCGAATCACAAATTTACGAAATTATAGTAGGTAATTCAGAAAATATGGAATCTAAAACAAGTGAACAATCCAAATTTGGTGAGGGACATTGGGATAGAGTGGTATCGTTTAGCAAAGTAATAGATAATGTAATAAAATTAGTCCGTTTTTACTGGAGAAGTCCAGGAAGAATTACCTAGGTTTATTGATGCATACGAGTTGGTCGCATCGGTTACTAGAGTAGAGCAAGTTAATATGATGCTCAAAACTATAATTACGAGGTTACAAGGACAAGCATATGACTTAATAAAATACAAAGTTATAGATACCTGGAAGGAATTAAAAAATATTTTAAAAAACTCGTACGAAAGACCTAAAAATGCTGCTTATCTGCAAACTGCGTTGTTTAGTTGTAAACATCAATATAAAGAATCGGTAGTAGAATATGCTAATAGGTTAAAAAATTTGTTAAGTCAGGTCTCTAACTGTAGCACACAAGGAAAAAGTTTACCAGATGCGTTAATTATAAAAAATTGTTTAAGAGAGCAGGTATTAAATGTATTTCTAGAGGGTATATCATCTTCTATAAAAGTAATGGTAAAAAGCCAACACCCTACAACACTAGACTCCGCTATTCAACATGCGATAGTTGAAGAAAAAAATTTCCTAGCTCAAATTGAGGGGCGTAGGTTAAATAATGTTCGATTTACGCGGGTACCAAATGGTAATAATTTTAAAANCATGTTCGATTTACGCGGGTACTAAATGGTAATAATTTTAAAAATAATAAGTTTAATAACCCGGTTAATTCGTCGTTTAAAGGTAGGTGTCATATCTGTTCGAAGGTAGGATACTACACTCGCGACTGTAGAATGAATGATAGAAATAGAAATAGAAATAATGTAAAACAGACTGTGTTAGAGCATACTTACGTGGTGTACGAATATTGTTCAAAAGGACAATAGATAGGGGGTTTAAGAAAAATAATGCAGAAATCAGAAGAAAAAAAGAGTCTAAATAATAATACTAGTGACCCAGAGTCGAGTTCAAGTAGTTCTAGTCAACCAAGGGAGAAAAGTTTTCCAAAAGAGGTTGGAGATTTAAGAAAACCGCATGATGTAAAATTAATTACTGTAGAAATGGATGGGAACCATATTAGGTGTGAGTCGCCGAATTTTATAGATCCTTGTACAGAGTTTTTGTTAGACACAGGAAGTAGTGTTAACATTATTAGTTTAAAAAGTTTAACTGATAACACGAAGTTAATACCTGGGGAAAACGTGTACTTAAGTGGGATCAATGCCGAATTGGTAGAAACCATAGGCATAGTAGAGATACCAATCAAAGTGAATAGAATTGATTTGGGTGTAATAAAATTTTATATAGTTGATGAAAGGGTTCCATTCTTAAAAGCGGGTATTTTGGGGCAAGAATTCATGAAGGAACAAGGCACAATTATTAACATAAAGAATAATACTATTTCGTTCTGTAAGGAAAATTCGATTAAGTTGCCACCAAGGTCGGAATATGTAGCATCGGTTTCAGTAAATAAAAATATAGTTGATAGTAAAGTAGCAGTACTAATAGATCGTAAAGAGATTGCTGAAAAAGTTATTGTGGGAAATGTATTAAATATTGTTAAAGATGGAGAAATACTGGTTAATATAATTAATTTATCTGAGGAAGAAAAAACGCGATTAAGCCTTTGAATTTAAGCGATTTCGAGTATGAAATATTTAATGAAGAATTAGTAATGAGTACAAATGTTGAAAATAAAATAGATAACAATTACTTGGAGTCAGATAGGCGTGATAAATTGATGTCTGAATTGCGTTTAGAACATTTAAATGCTGAAGAGAAAAATATATCCATATGTGCAGATTACGGTGATATATTCTATTTAGAAGGGGATAAGTTAACGAGTACTGATTCTATAAGTCACGATATAAAAGTGCCTAGTGGACAGTTACCTCTTTATACGCGTCAATATAGGTTACCTCATAGTCAACGGGATGAAATCGGTAGGCAAATTAATCAAATGAAACAAGATGGTATAATTGAACCAAGTTAATCGCCTTGGAATTCACCTATCTTGTTAGTTAAAAAGAAATTAGATGCCTCTGGGAAGCAAAAGTATAGGTTGGTGGTGGATTATCGGAAATTAAACAATATTACGGTGGGAGATAAAATGCCTTTACCTTTAATACAAGATGTGTTAGATAGATTAGGTAATTCTAAATATTATTCTGTACTGGATTTGGCTTCAGGTTTTCACCAAATTCCTTTAAGTACAGCATCAAAGGAAAAAACTGCGTTCAGTAGTGATGATGGACATTATCAGTATACTAAATTGCCCATGGGCTTAAAGAATAGTTCGCCAATATTTCAGCGGATAATGAATAATGTATTATGTAATTTAGTGGGTATTAAATGCCTTGTCCATTTGGACGATGTTATTGTTTTTTCAGCAGATTTAAAAGAGCATAAGAAAAGATTAAGGGAAGTTTTTAATCGAATGCGAGAACATAATTTAAAATTACAACCTGCCAAGTGTGAGTTTCGAAGAAAAGAAGTTGTTTATTTAGGACATAAAGTATCTGAAAGGGGAGTAGAACCTGACGAAAGAAAAATCGAAAGTGTAAACAATTTTCCCATTCCCCGTAATGTTAATTATAACCATTAGGTTATTATCGAAACTTTATACCCAATTATAGTAAGATTGCAAAACCATTAACTAACTTATTAAAGAAAGGTATTGAGTATAAATGGTCAAGTTGTTGTAATGAAGCTTTTGAAACTTTAAAAAATTGTTTGTGTAGTAATCCTATATTACAATTTCTTAATTTCGAAATACCATTTATTGTAACATGTGATGCTAGTAATTATGCGGTGGGAGCTGTATTAAGTCAGGGTGATTTAGGTAAAGATTTGCCCATAGCATATGCATCAAGAACATTAAATGGGGCAGAGTTAAACTACACAACTACTGAAAAAGAGCTTGTAGCAATTATATTTGCAGTAAAACATTTTAGACCATATGTTTTTGGCACTAGATTCACCTTAGATAGTGATAATAAATCTTTGACGTGGTTATTTAATGTTAAAGATCCCAGCAGTAGGTTATTAAGATGGAGAATCAAGTTAGAGGAATATGATTTTGAAATTAAATATAAGCCAGGAAAAATGAATTGTAACGCAGATGCATTGAGTAGAGTAAAATTAATTAACCAATGTCAAATAGTAGATAGCTATGAAAAATTTAATGATGATTTTAGCTCGAAAATTATTATAAATACAAAAGTCAAAGAGATAAGGGGGAAATCCTAGAAGCATCCAATGATTTTCATATCGTTGTAGAATATAAAGGACAGCTATTTAAAGAGGCGTGTGATAAGTTTGGTATAGAAGAGAATAAAATTGATAAACCAAAATTAGCGGATGTCCCTATCAATTATAAACATGTATAATCGCAAAGACAAATATTTAATAAAGTGGTGGTGACACAACACTATTAAATAGATCGTCTATGATGGAATTGTTGATGTTGATTAAACGCA